GCCTAACATCTTCAACATGGAGCTCTGGAACATCTCGGGCCACGCCAAGCACTACAAGGAGAACATGTTCGTGTTCGACGTGGAGGGCCAAGAGTACGCGCTCAAGCCCATGAACTGCCCCGCCGCCTCGCTCATGTTCGACTTCCGCCAGCGCTCGTACCGTGAGCTGCCCATCCGTTACGCGGACTGCGGCGTGCTGCACCGCAACGAGCTGAGCGGTGCCCTGACGGGTCTGACGCGTGTGCGTCGCTTCCAGCAGGACGATGCCCATATTTTCTGCCGTGACGACCAGATCAAGAAGGAGGTGCTGGACTTCCTGTCCTTCATGAAGTACGTGTACGACGTCTTCGGCATTGAGTTCAACCTGGAGCTGTCGACGCGCCCCGAGAAGGCCATGGGCGAGCTGGATCAGTGGGAGCGTGCTGAGTCGCAGCTCGCCGAGGCTCTGGACGAGTTCGTGGGTGCCGGCAAGTGGGTGGTCAACCCCGGTGACGGCGCTTTCTACGGCCCCAAGATCGACATCATGATCACGGATGCGCTAAAGCGCCAGCACCAGTGCGCCACGGTGCAGCTCGACTTCCAGCTGCCCATCCGCTTCAACCTGAAGTACCGCACGGACGACGCGGACAACTTCAAGCGCCCGGTGATTATCCACCGTGCCATCTACGGCTCGCTGGAGCGATTTGTCGCCGTGCTGGTGGAGCACTACGCCGGCAAGTTCCCCTTCTGGCTGTCGCCCCGCCAGGTCCTCATCGTCACGGTGGGCGCTGCCTTCGTGGACTACGGTTACGAGGTCAAGGACGCTATGTTCCGCGCCGGCTTCGACGTGGACATCGATGACACGGGCAAGACGCTGAACAAGAAGATCCGCGAGGGCCAGATGGCTCACTACAACTTCATCCTTGTGGTGGGCGCCCACGAGAAGGAGACACGCTCGGTGAACATCCGCACGCGCGACAACAAGGTGACGGGTACCAAGACCCTCGAGGAGGCCATCGCCATGTTCAAGGAGCTGGAGGAGACCAAGGCTGCCGACGAGTAAACTATGCGCATGGTAGAGCAGGTGGGTGGCCCGCAGGTCCCTCCTCTTTTAGATTGACCCTCTCAACGGTAGCGTTTGTTTTCATTTGCAGTCTTTAGCTTCCTAAAAGTCATACAGTCGTGAGAGGTTCGTTCATGCAAGGATAGTGTTGTGAGTTTGACTCGATTTGCGTACTTTGCGAATGACAGATCAAGAATTGCACCAAGGTTGATCATAGTGTCCAATTCATCATCTTTCGCCAATCGGATGAACATCAACCGACTTCAAGCTCAACGCGTTGTGCAGGCCAAAAAGCGCAAGAATCAAGTACATGTACACGTGACTGCAACGAGACACCGAGCACCAGCAGCAAAGTCATCGATCCCCTCTCAAAGAAAACTATCTTCGCGCAGCCCGCTGATTCAAGCCTCGAATCAAAGAGAGAAGTGCACGGGGCTCAACTCGCTTGAGTGTGATGAACTCGAACTGATTTTGCGCCGGGCGTGCCTTCACGTACATGTACGTGGTTGCAGCATGCTTGGTTGACCCCGTGGGTGCGCACAGTTCCCTGCTACGACCGGCGCGCTAAGGCCTCGCTCATCGATGGCACGCGCGCGAGCAGTCCTGTTGAGCCAATATGGAGCCCGGTTCATTCTTCCTTTCTCCTTGCATCGCGCACCAGAAGATCAAGCAACACCAGCACGAGAGCCCAGCCCATGAAGGTCTTCTACGCGTCTCTCATCGTAGCGACATTGCTCGCGCAGTGCACCGTCTTCGCGGACGAGTGTGCAGATGCCACTTCCACCGGCACCTCGACTACCGAGACTTCGTCGCAAACAACGGCCTCTTCGACCAAGAGCTCCGACTCTGGCTCGGATCTCTTGTCCGTGGATCTCACGTCCATCGGTGGCGCCGGCACCAACATCACGAAGGCGACTGAAACGGAGGTGGACGGCGTGTCCTATTGCTACGTGGAAGGCTACCTGCCCCCACAGGCTAAGTGGATGATGCAGCTGCCCATTTCGACCTGGACGCAACGCTATCTGCAAGCAGGTTGTGACGGGTTGTGTGGCCCGTCGATGGTCTCTCTCTCTCGGTCGTAGCAGCGGAGGGCTCCGACCAATACGAGAATGGACACTTTGCGATGGCGACAACCGACATGGACGGCACCACCGATGGGTCCTTCGCATTAAACGAAGACGCCTTCATCGACTTCGCCTACTTGGCCGTGCACAGCACTGCAGAGGTCGCCAAGACGCTCATCAAGCAGTACTACGGCCAGGAGCAGAAGTACGCGTACTTCAACGGGTGCTCGGACGGCGGCCGCGAGGCTGTCATGTCGGCACTCCGCTATCCGGAAGACTTCAACGGCATCGTGGCTGGTGCCCCTGCGTTCCTGTTCCAGTTCCAGAACAGCTTCCACCACGCTTGGGACGCTTTGAGTAACCTGGACGAGAACAACGAGCCCATCTTGAACCCGTCGCGAGTTCCTATTCTTCACGATGGCGTGGTGGCTGCATGCAATTCCCTGGACGGCGTGGAGGACGGTCTCCCCACTGACCCTCGCATCTGTTCGTTTGATCCTCGTACAATTCAATGCGCTGACGACGCCGACAATTCCACATGCCTCACCGCGGCTGAGACCCACGTGGCCATCAACTTCTACTCTGGTCCTATCGACGAGGCCAGCGGCGAGCACTTGACCGTTGGTGAGATGCAGTTCGGCTCTGAGAACGGATGGATCGACGTTGGAGTGCTCGCCACCGATGGAGGGAGCGTTCCAAGCGAGGCGATGGCTCTGTCAACGCTTCGCTACCTCATCTTCAAGGATGCCCCTGGAGCAAACTACACACTACAGGACTTGGTGTTTGCCAATTCGACCATTGAACTGCTCAAGCCGCACCACCCGTTCCTCGACTCTGTGAGCCCCGACCTCTCCGCCTTCCGTGAGGCTGGAGGCAAGTTGATTCTCTGGCACGGCTGGGCTGACCAGCACATTTCTCCGCGCACGACGATCCAGTATCACGAGAAGCTGATCGACAACATGGGCGCTGACGCCGACCAGGACTTCAACCGCATGTACCTCTTCCCCGGTGTGTGGCACTGTGGAAGCGGCGAAGGCATGACGTCGTTTGACCTGCTGACCCCGATGTTGGACTGGGTGGAGGCTGGATCGGCTCCACACGAGATCATGACGTCCACGGAGGAGAGCGGCTCCAGCTCGACGTCCGGGTCGTCCAGCACGCTCTACCGCACGCGTCCGGCTTATCCGTATCCGTCGGTGGCGAAGTACTCGGGCTCTGGTGATGTGAACGATGCTGTGAACTGGGAGGAGGGCGACGCGTTGTACTCGAACTTGACGGCGTATTGGCTTGGGGAGAGCTTCTTCGACGTGTTCACGCCAGTGATGGAGCCTTAAGATTGGTAGCAACTGGATTTGACGTGCTGCTCTGCTTTTGAAAAGACAAGTTCACTTTCGTATCTGTGTGTAGCACTTGATCTAAGCTTATCTTCGGCATTGACCATATTCATTATTCGTTGGTTTACTCACCTAAAACCGTTTACGATAAGTTAGTGTAGGTTTACTTGTGAGACATCGAACAAATGCAGCACCAGTAAATGATATCACCGCTGCCCCCCGTTCTCCATGATCCGGCACGACACCGTACAAAAGGACGCAAGCGCAGACTTTTCGAGACTTGGGCCACAAAGCTGACGGATACCTGACGGATATCAGGTTCTCTACCCAACTCAGTCACTACGGCGGCAAGTATTCTGTGGAGCGGTTGCTGGCACTCGAGGAGTACATCGAGCGCACGCCCTTTTCTCGTGTTGTGCTGGTTAGTGTCGGCACCCCAGCGCCGATTGTTGCGGTGGTTTTCTTCAGTTTCAAAGGTTGAGGCCTGTATAAGCCACGTTAAACTACTAAAGTAAAGTAACGAGCTAGATACCACCGTCGCTTCCGAGCTGGTGGTTTTCTGCCAAGAAAGTGTCCCTCTGCAGCGTCCCGATGAAGGCTGGCAGGCCAACTATGGCTTTTGGGTTCGCGTCGCCGTTCAGGGAGCAGTCATCGCATTTGCTTCAGCGATTCACATCGGCCACCTCCTCGACGGAGCTGCTCTTTCTCATCGACAGCTTGCTCTGTATACACTTACTATGGCAGTCATCTACGTTGGTATCGCCTTGGCAATTGCTGCGAACTGGGTGTTCCCTACTCCGTTCTTGCACATGATCCTTGCACCGCATTTCGGTCGTGGTAGTGGGGTGCTTTCGCATTGCCATAGGAAGAAGCGTATTTCAGCACGTATCATTGCAGTCAGCCAAGCTGAAGCAACTCAAAAAAATGTTCGGCGTCCAGCTTCTGATGATTGTCGTTTATCCAGCATACCAAGTGGGCAAGCGACTCTACTGTCTATCATCAAGCTCGCCCTGAAGAACCTGCTGCGAGTCACGATCACGCAGATGGACCGAAGAAGTCATTTTTAACGTCGACTTCTTCGGCGCAGTTTTCTTGGCCACAAGTATGCAGGCCGCTTCATCAGCGACGACTATCCTAGTAATCATGGCGATCGATGCTGCTGACTCCGTGATCGAATTGAGAGAACTGTATCAGCGCACATACAACATACTGGGCCGATATACCCGCAAGGATGCAGCTAGCGATAGCAAGGGCAGCCTAGTCACGTCAGTCCGGAATTGGGCTCAACGGACGAGTTTGAAGAAGCTCCGAGCCCAAGTTAAGGGACGAGTTCAAGTGCTATCCTGCATACCGTACCAGCTATCAGCAGACGCGAGAGTTCTGGTTGAGAAGCTACAGCCGCCTCTCCGTGATTCGGCTATCCGCTCGGCGGATATCGCACAGAAGACATGGATGTAATTGTGCAGATGGAGCGTGTGTGCTGGTACCCGCGTCCAGCCAATTACGTCCCCCACTCTCGACGAGTGTCGGACACTTTCTCACGGCAGCTTCCATTCGCGCATGCACGAGAACTTCAACACGCTCAGTGAGCCGCTCGAGCTGCTCTTCACCTCCGAGTGCTTGATTTTGACCGAGTATATGGAGACAATAATCCCGTTCATGTATAATACGGCTTTGACGTCTTGGTGTTGGTGCACCTCCCCAGCGCTCACTACCACTCCGAGATGCACGGTATCACGCTCAACAACGTTTGGAGCAAGGTCTTGGGCATTTTCGCCTACGGTCTGCTGGAGTTGATATTGTTTGGCGTGTTGGCCACCATCATCCGACGCAACAGCGGCATCCGGGCGCTGTACCAGTTGGCCTTCGTTCTCGAGACTCAGATGCCGCTAGTGCAAGCCAAATTCGCGCTCTGGGTGATGATGATGCTGGCCTTCCGAGTCACGCATTTCGGTAAGAAAGATTAGCAGGAATTTCGCACCATTTTCCATGTTTTCTTCGCTAACATCTCTGATGCTAAAGGGGTGGACTTCACCTTCAAGTTCTCGTGGAGGTAAGACAACGGCACCAATCGCAAATACTCATCAAGCCTCATCAATAGAGGGATGAGAAGCTCTTGCTCAGCTAAGATGAGACCAGGTCGGACAAGGAATTATCATGTCGCTGTATTCCGGGGGTACGACAAGGCTGGCAATGCACCCACGTAAGGGGTCCTGTTAGCTCTGATGGCCGATGACTTCGCCTCCGGGATCGTTCACTTCAATTTGCGGCGTCCTCGTCAAGCGACCAACACTACGACCAACACTCCACCAACTTCAACTTCAACTCAAATCATGGCTCCCGCTGCCCCGCCAGTCGCCACCACGAGCAACGGAGCCCCCTTACCTCCCTCTGGGCTCACCGCTTCGGCCACAGCTGGCCCGCGCGGCCCCATCGTGCTGCAGGACTTCGCTCTGCTGGACCACCTCGCGCACTTCGACCGGGAGCGGATCCCTGAGCGCGTCGTGCACGCCAAGGGCGCCGGCGCCTTCGGCTACTTCGAGGTCACGCACGAGACGGCCACCAAGTACTCGCGCGCCAAGCTGTTCTCCTCCGTGGGCAAGTGCACGCCCGTGGCCGTCCGCTTCTCGACCATCGGAGGGGAACTGGGCAGCGCCGACACGGTGCGAGACCCGCGCGGCTTCGCCATCAAGCTCTATACGGAGGAGGGCAACTGGGACCTCGTGGGCAACAACACGCCCATCTTCTTCATCCGCGACCCGATCCTCTTCCCGAGCTTCATCCACACGCAGAAGCGCCTGCCCAGCACGCACCTCAAGGATACCATGATGTGGGACTTCTTCTCGCTGCGTCCGGAGACGTTGCACCAGCAGACCTTCCTCTTCTCGGACCGCGGCATCCCGGACGGCTTCCGCCACATGAACGGCTACGGCAGCCACACGTACGTCAACGTGAACGCCCAGGGAGAGGTTACCTACGTCAAATATCACTTCAAGACGGACCAGGGCATCCGCAACCTGCCAGTGGACGAAGCTGCCGCTCTCGCGAGCTCCGACCCGGACTACGCCATCCGCGACCTGTACACCCCCATCGAGCGCTAGGACTTCCCCACCTGGACGCTACGATGACGCCCGAGCAAGCGGCCAAGGAGAGCGTGAACCCCTTCGACGTCACCAAGGTCTGGCCGCACAGCGCGTATCCGCTGCAGGAGCACCAAACCGACCGGTGCTGAACCGCAACCCGAAGAACTACTTTGCCGAGGTGGAGCAGCTCGCGTTCTCGCCGTCGCACATGGTGCCCGGTATTGAGCCCTCGCCCGACAAAATGCTGCAGGGACGACTGTTCTCGTACCCGGACACGCAGCGGCACCGACTCGGACCAAACTACCAGCAGATCCCAGTGAATAAACCCCTCAACGAGCTGCGGACCTACCAGCGCGACGGCTTCATGACGGTCGACGGCAACATGAACGACGCGCCCAACTACTTCCCTAACAGCGTCGGCGGACCTGTTGAAAGCCCCGCATTGCGCTACCACGCGTACCAAGGGGATCACTCGGTGGTGGACAAGTTCTCGACGGCGGACGACGACAACTTCTCCCAAGTGGGGACTTCTACCGTAAGACGCTGGACACCGCGGCACGTGAGCGGCTCACGGACAACATTGCCGGATCGCTGGTCAACGCGTCCAAACCAGTGCAAGCTCGCGCCATTGCCAACTTCTGCAAGGCGGACCCGGACTATGGACTGAGGGTTCAGGAGAAGCTGGGAGAACTTGAAAAAAAAACAAAGCTGTGCACCAGAAAGCCAAGGAACTCGCAACGGAGCCGCTGAACCCGCCCCGCAGAACCTTCAAGGCGGTTGCTGCGTTGGAAGGCAGCTGGATTTGAGCTCACTGAGGATTCTACTCCCGATGCTTAAATTATGCGTTTAAACCTTTTTTGACTTTACATGTTACTTTTGGCATTTCTAACTCTCACGTGACAATTTCGGTTGCAACGTTTTTACATGTTAAACTATAAAACGGTTAAAACGGATAAATGACTCCTCGCGAAAAGTTTTATCACAACCAATCACTGCTTCTTACTGACATAGAAGCAATGATTGGTTGTGGTAAAACTGACCAAAAGATGAACAACACCCCGCTTCCGCCTCCTCTTCAGGTAGCTCCTCCGTGCGAGCTGCTCAACTGTTCCCGGCCTGGCGCTCTCCAATACAACTACCGCTACGTCTGCAGAGCCCACTTCGATGAGCTGAGTTGTCCGTACAGCACCGCCAACGGTTTCTTCTCCACGCGGCCGCGAACGTCACCGCCAAGTCCACAGAAAGTGTTCGTTCCCGAACTGCAGCAAGCAAGGGGCGCGCGCCCATGGCCAAGAGTTCTACTGCAAGCGCCACAAGACGCACGTCATGGAGCTGACCGCGCACGTGGTGGGCCAAGCTCTGCCGGTTCGAGAACGCGTCAACGTCCATGGGAACTTGGTGCGTTTGTGCCAGGTCGGGCTCTGTAAGAAGAAAGGTCGAACAACGGTGGACGAGAAGTTTGTATGCAAGGACCACGCGCGGCTACTAAGGGAGAAGGACCAGTTCGTGGACCAGAGCCAAGCTGCATTCCTGGTTCGAAGGGACTACATCAGAGGAAAGTGTGCAAGCCACTTAGCGATGCCAGTATGCAACTACGTAGGGTGCGACCGAGACAAAGTGACGGCAAAGTACCGAGGCTTCTTCTGCGCCGGCCATTTGCCGGTGATCGACGACCTGCGGGGTAAGATAATGGCCGCCAAGAGCGACGGAGATTTCGAGGTACAGATCCCGCTGAGGTACAACGAAATCTTCCTGCGCAAGTTCCTGGACAAGGGCCATGTGCACTTCTACAACTCACTTGTGGCCAAGCATGGATATGTCGCACCCGTGGTGGGAATTGTGGGCGACCAACTTGTTGGAGTTGCGGGAGGACAGAAGACCGCTGAAAGATTGCTTAACTAGGCAAAACACATACAAATTCACCATCGGCGCATCTATCGATGTACGCGCCGCCAGCCTGGACGCCGCTCCCCTTCTGCTCGATGTTCAACTGCCCGTACGCAGGCGAGTTCCTCTTCAACGGGCGCAACGTGTGCGGCGCGCACCTGCAGCAGCTCTCGCAACCTCCAGCACCGCCAGCTCCACCCCTCCCACCGCCGGAAAGCCGCCCACAACTTCAGGCGGAGAAGAGCGACACGTGCGCCTTCCGTGGCTGCAAGAAGAGCGGCCTGTGCGCGCATGGCCGCGACTATTTCTGCCGGGAGCACTTCACGCGGCTGCTAGTGCTTGACGCACACGTGGCCGGCCAGAGGCTCCCGCCGCGCACGAGGGTCAACAACGGCGGACGCGTCGTGCAGCTCTGTCAAATCGGCCACTGCACGAGGAACGGCAACAGCTGTCGGGCGGCCTCAAAGTGTGCAAAGACCACTCGCTGCTGCTGCTCCACAAGGAGCGATTCGTGGACAAACGCAACGCTCAGGACTACGCGCTGCACTCCGCGGCGAGTCAGACGCGGGTCTGCAGCTATGTGGGCTGCTCCAGCACGAGCGTGGCGCAGAAATACCACGGCGTCTTCTGCGCGCAGCACCTGCCGGTCATCGGCGACATCCGCAACCGCATCATGATGGCCAAGTGCCACGGAGACGAAGCGATCCAGATCCCATTGCGGTACAACGAGATTTTCCTCCGGAAGTTCCTGGATGAGGGACACGTTGTGTACTATAATGAGCTGGTCGCTAGGCACGGATTCGTGTCACCCACAGTTCACGTGGGAAGTCGAGGGTTGCAGGGAATCTCACACGGCCCGCACATCCGGTGATGGTGCTTTTCCCACTGAAACAAAAATATCTCTGGCTTTCGGACGCTTGCGTGGTTGGTTGATCACCATGTCATATTCATAGGTTCATGTACTTTTATTTGCTATCATAACGTTATCTCGGATTCTAGTTACTGGTATCGGATGCCCATGCAAACTGAAAAGTGAAGTCAACACCTGCAATTTGACCAATGCACACATACGAAATCAAGTTTTCATGAGCTTTTCTTTCGAATATTTTGCTCAGCGCGTGCCAACGCACCGAAGTGAGCCACTCGACAAGCCAGCAGCATGACGACCCAGAGTGGAAATTTGGCCTGAACCAGAGGCATCTGCGTCTCGAGTACGAATCCGAGTTGATAAAGGGCACTGATACCGCAGTTTCGCCGTAGAACAACGGCTAGCGCGACGAAAGATCCCAGCTCCAGTAGCCCGTAGGCAAAAACTCCCAATAACTTGCCATACACGTTGCTCAGAGTGATGCCTTCCATCTCGGAATGATATTGTGCGGCAGGAATCATGAAAATGCCACAGCCATACATATGTACATCAGAGGAACAATAGTCTTCAGGTACTCGGTCAACACGAGGCACTCGGAAGTGAACAGCAATTCTAACGGCTCCCTGAGCGAATTTCCGTCCTGTTGCTTCGAATGGCGGGCACTTATTCGACGCAGAAAATCCTTCGCCATTGATGCTGGATGCACGGGGACTGCTCGGCGTATATCGCACCTACATGGTGTCGCTCTGTGCGTACAATGGTGAGTCGGTTGTTCGGGTGTATTTAGTTCGAGCCCCGTTGGGTCATCGGGAAAAATCTGCAAATTTTCAAGAAGAGCCTTCCCTCTATCTGATACGCGGTGAGGACAGGACGACATCACTTGAATAACACCGCGAATTGCATGTGGAGTCGTATGCTGAGCCCATGTTCGTACTTGTGTTGGAAGTTCTTGGCTAACATCACTCGAGCTGCAGTAGCGAGCGAAAATACGTCGAGTTCGTTGGTGTAAGCAGCGCAACTCGATGACGGTGCCGACCATGTCAACCGCCATGACTCCAAGTACAGTTGTGACAGACGAAGACACGCGGCCATGTACGCCGCATTGAAAAACTCGACATTGAAGATTACTTCTTCGGGCACACGGTCTTCCATATGCCACACATTGAAAGTTATGAGGTTCTTCATTGCGATTTTGACGAGCGACAGGAGCAAAACCACAGGCAGCTCCAGCACAGAGCCGCTAACATAGCGGAACGCTATTTCATACAGATCGTCATCAGGAGCTGCACGGCGAACATTTTTCCAAGCTGGTGAAGCTGAGCTGTACGTGAAGTTGCTATTAATAATCGAAATCTGTTGAACCCAATAGCGGCACCAAAAACGAGCACAAGTAGAACTGGTGTCGCGGGCATCAGCAGCAGGTGTAGGAATTGAATAGGAAAGAGCCAATTTGCAGCAATTCCCAACGCTACACCCGTATACACAATCCCAGCGCAGATAGAGCAAAGCACAAGCCTTGAATTCGAAAGAGAAGTCTCACCGAGAAAAAACGCTGCATGAATTGATGCCGACCACGTTATTACGCTCCCTTGAATGATAACACGAATCCAGAACCCGTAGTTAGCTCTCCAGCCTTCTGCAGGGTTTTGGAGGGGGACGCATTCTTGATACAACACCAGCAGAATGACTGGGGCAGGTGCTCACGCAACCGTTAAGAGCACTCGAGAAAAAAACGTCCGCTGAATCTGCTCTTCGAGGGCCAATGCGCGTTCAAGTGAGTATTTGCCGCCGTAGTGACTCACTTGGACGGAAAGCCACGAATCCATTAACGCTAACGCTACCTGTCTGAAGCAACTGTGCTTGCCGTGACTCGAATCCCGCGTGTCTGTTGGTTCAGGGAGTATTCGCTGCTGCGAAGACATTGCTCGAGTGGTTGTCGGAAGTTTTCTTTCTACTACTGAAGTAATTATAAATCTGAATCTGAGTCAGCAATGCACAAGGACCTATTGTTAACCCACTTCGACTATTATTCTTAGGAATTGGGTAAACCAGACTTCTATAAGATACAGAAGGAGAAACGACTTTTTCTTGATTCCTAGTGTAGGTCAGTAAGTTTTTTTAACTACTTCTCTGAAGTAAATACTTTTGAATCAATGGCAAACGATCAGGAATTGAGCCAGGAAAACTTAAAGGTAAAATCGACCCCTAATTGCGAGCATTTGACGTCATGAATGTTAGATCCAAACGAAAACGCACCACACAACGAATCACGTACCGAAGTGAACTACCCGAAATGCGAAAGTCGCCAATACCCAAATAGCGATTTTATCTTGAACCAGCAGCATCTGGGTCTCGTGCACAAATGCGAGTTGATGCAGAGCCGACAATCCGCAGCCATGGTGAAGAACTGCAACGTAAATTACGAAATAAATTATTTTTACCAGCGCCAGAGTAAGCACACCGTGTATGGATGCAAGTGCGTTATCCACCGTCACACCGTCGAGGTCCATGGGATACTGCGCGTTCGGGAGGCGGATGATTGTCAAAACCATGCAGCAGTAAAATACCGGAATTAACGATTCCAAGTACTCCGGCAGAATTTGGCATTCGGTACTGAAAACGGCTTCAAGCGTGCCACGTAAAACGAGCGATTCCTTGCTGTGAATGCTCCTTCGCGACCCAGCTCCTCTCGTTGAATTGCTAAAGCTGGCGTTGGCTTCTTCGAGTGGTTGAATCTATGCTGAGCGCTTTGACCGTCCAAAAGGATTAACCTTTGGTGTTATACTGCCGATTGCATTGAAACTTGTTGATGCGGTATCCGTGTGCCGCCTCACGGGCTTAACACGATATCCACTTCTAAAACCCGCAGATTTGTTGCACGGAGTGGCCGCTAGTGTATCCAGCAGCGTTTTTAGCGCGTCGGAAAGTTGGTACTGGAGAACCGAGCGTATTTTTACTCTTGCTTTCGTCTGAGTTCTGTACGTGTCCGTGTTGTCGCAGAGTGACCTGATCAATCCCAGCAAACTGTGCGAAGTAGTTTGTCCTAGCACTTCATCGAGTCGAGCGCGGATTTAACTTACGCGGCGGTAGAAATTGTACAGATGGATGACTCCTTGGCAAATATCAAACGTCGCCATCGTAACGAGCGTGACAGGAGACGTAGTTCTTTGCATGAATGTGGCCACGTAAAGAGAGTTGAAGAATTCCGCCGTGAAGATGACAGACTCGGGCATTAAGTCTTCTACGTGGGTGGTCCCAATCGACAATAAATACTTCATCATCATCTTGATACAAGGCAGAAACAGGATCACGGGGATTTCATAGCGCGTGTCGATCACAATAGTAAGCAGTGTCTGGTAGGCTCGATATACGATGACCATCAGGCCCTGAATGACAATAAAGGAGACATATTTTAACAGTTGAACCCTGTCTTTCGCCATGTCCTCGAAAAAGCGCCAACCCGCGGTTATCCGAAGCGAAACCAGCAGGATGAAGTAGAATACAGGAAGAGCTGTCACCAAAATGAAGGCAATAGGAAACCCCACTGCACATGAGATCCCCATCATCGTTACTGAAAACGTGACGCCAACGCAGCAAAAATTAAGTAAAAGCTGTCGTCTCGAGAAATTAATTCGGTCCACGAGAAATTGTGCGTGTATTGCTGCAGTGTGAGCGACGACGCCAGTCAAGAGAGCTACTCGGATCCAGAAGCCGTAGTTGGCAAGCGGGCCCTCGCTCGGTTTCTGCAGTGGAATCAATTCTTGTACGAGAACCACAAACGTAATAGGCAGCGGCGTACGATAAGGACTCGAGACAGCGAGGTAGTTCGAGCGTATTCCTCCAGCGCCAGCAGCCTCTCCAGTGAATACTTCCCCCCTCGATGGCTCACCTGCAACTTATACCATGCTTGAACCAGCTTCTTCGTCCAGTTGACGGCCCGATTGCACCAGGAAATGGACTGCACGGTAAGCCCCAGCGTCGGAGCAGTGTGAGTGGCCATTACGCCAAACGCGCTTGAAAGCGCTGTCGTGAGTGAGAGTAAAAATAGGGTCAATTTGCCATGAAAAGCATGATCGAGGGCGTACGAGATCGAAACACAGCCAACTATTATTATGATATACCTACTCAATACAACGCCCTACTCTCAGAGAAATACAGAAAGGGGATCATCGAAGTTGTAAGAAAAATGCTGACTCAAAATGTATTGTGCGTAATTCGTTGTTTTAGCAAATCACGGTGATTAGCCCATCATTGAGGTAGGAGGCTAACTCGTCGATTTAAGATAGAATAGCTGCTAAGACAACGAGTTAACGTTGAGTTATGTGCTCACTTTCGTTGAATGGCTGGAGTAAATCCGACAATACTACGGCCCTGACATTTTAATTCTAACTCGCTCGCTTTGTATGATTGCTTTCTAGTCGATGATTGACATGCGTTGGCGATCTATCGTACTAAACTACGTCTACAATATTGAAAAGCATCCCTGTTTTTATATCGAGGAGCTGCAAGCAGCTTTAAAGTCAGCGTTTCCTGCACTACAAAACATTTCTAGAAGAAATTTTCTACTGCTAATATATGCCGTGCTCTGAAATTCGAGCTTGGTTTAACGCGCAAGGCCACGACGAAGAGAGCGAAAGAAAACGTCCCCGCCGAAATCGGTGCTTACTATTATGCAAGGAGTTGGCGCCATTCTATCAGGGACCTTATCAGTTTGTTTTCTTGCAGCGACAACCGATTTATTCTTGCAGTGGCAGCCGCTCCGTTCTTGCACTGCGATGTGCTTGGTACTGGCAGTTGATTAGCTTAACTTTAACTTAGAGTTAGGCCACTTTCAATTTAGCAGAGCAGAGGCGAGGCCCCGACAGCACAGTGTACCAGCTGGAGGGATTGGAAGCAAAGTGTGCGCACGGCACTGGCTTTACATACAAAAACATGGGATCGCCCATGCATGGGGATCCGCCCGACAACGGCAAGCCACCGGACCCAGGGAAGCCCCGCCGAGA